GTCACATCCTGATAGAGATTTCACATGTAGTAACTCCTCCCCCTTTTTTAATACACAAAAATGCGATGAAAACCATTTGGCCCCTTTAGATGACGAAAAACTTAATTATGAATGAATATATTATTCCCATTAAATGAATGCTTAGTGTTATAATTTCACATTCTAGTATGAGATATCATGCCTTATTATTTTGACTTTTGATTGGAAGTCGCATAGAGGAGCAAAATGTCATTATATATATATATATATATACAATCTGGGCAACGTTTATGTAAATTCCAGAAAATAATCCAATTTAATACACAAAACATCATCCAATATGTTGGACCAAAACAGATTTTTAAGTGTAAAAAATTAAATTTTGGTCGATTTTGAGTTTAAATTAAAGTAAGACTCGATTGTTATTTTGAATAAAATTTTATGGGTTTATATTTTATTCCGTGAGGAGAATAATTTAGATATTTACTTGCTCAAATCGAGTAAGAAATGAATGAGAAAATAGACTCCAAAGTGACCCTCTTGAGATATGAAAATAAAGGTTATGCAATATGAAATTTGACACCAATCCCACATTGGTTGAAAAAGAAATTCAATATTGACATATATAAGTTAAGTTTGTTCTATTTGAGTGGGCCCCAAGGGATACCATAGTTTTATGAGCGGAGCAAACATCTACATGCTTTCGGTTTAAACACACACGCGTCGCCCGCCTATCTCGCCCCAACCCCGGCAAAGTCGGGCTCGGGCTCCGGTGTGGTTTAGACCAAGTCTCATCTTTTTAGAGAAAATTTAATTAATTAATTGAGCGAGAATTTCTAAACCGAAATTTAATTTTTAGTATTCGTTGGATCGCACTGGTTCGGATGTACTGCCTCCCTCCGGTCTGAAATTAAGTTGTGACTATTCATAGAAAACAGTTACAAATGGTGTCTACTGGTTAGCATTTGTCTTCCTGGGTTGTACATTTTATTATGGTGGCTGTCCAGAAAGTCATCAAACTGTTTATAAATACCCAGGCTCATTACTATTGCATCAATTCATTTGTTCAATCCATTTTTGACATTAAGGCAAACATTATTGCATTACAGTCTACATATCGACATTAAGGCAGTGTCTTGGAGAGTACACAATACAAATTTTGGTTCACTAGACGAGTAGATTAGGGTGTTACTTCTGCTCGTGTAAAGATCATTGTATTATAGGAGGCAAATGCTCAATATTTCATAAGCACTGTGTGGTGGGGGGCGAAATCTGTTTTAAGGACATAATGTTAAATACTAGCCTTGATTTACATCAACTTTAATAACAGTTTCTATTCTGCAACCAGGTTAATATTTATATTAGTTTGATAAAAAGTTACGTGTAATTCTTTCGTTTCTGTGTAACTCTTTACTGTTATTGTTTCGTTAAAGTAATTCGTTTCGGTGTAACTCTGTACATGATTCAAATCAGAAATTTCAATAAGTGATTTTACATTATTTGGATATCAAAAACAACACTATATATCCTCTAGGTACTATTCTACATACATACAGATAAAGAAAATTATATTTTAAACCTCTTAACTATGTATTCGATTTCATTTTATCCCTGAACTATTTAATTTTTTACTTTGCCCCAAAACTAATTGAATTATTTCAAATTATCTCACACCATAATGCTCGCAGTTTTTTTTGGAAGGAAATTGTTAACTTGTTAGGGAGACAAAATGAAACAATTTTTTCGTCAAATTTGTAACAAAATTGAGGTGACGTGAAGCTAATCACATAATTAAGGATGTAATATGAAAAAATAATTATAGTTGAAGAGATTAATTAGTATAATTTACTCATTGACTATTATATTCATCCATTATGTGTTATCTCAACAAGATATTGTGGCATCACTTTCAGATGGACAAAGTCAAAGAATACTAATTATTTTTATGGGGTTCCAATGGACAAAGGTTAAACTTTCAAGAATGAATACTTATAAATGGAATTAAACACATATATTACAACAACTTGTTTTAATCATCCATTTATTTTTTATTAATCAATACTTATAAATGGCATGCACTTGAAGGGTATTTTGCTGTCTTCTATCCATTTTTTTTTAAAAAAAATTTTTGGACTCTACCAAAATGCTTTATTTATCAATTCATCCCATGTTTGACATGATTTTTCCTAATTTGTTTCTAACTTTGCACAAAATTAGAAAAAAAACTTACACAAAATTAGAAAAAAACATTTTATGTAAGTTTTTTTTTGCAACAAGTGTCTAAATTTACGTCGACTATTCGTTTGAGCTAGGAGACCAATCACTGTAGTTTGAACTAATTTAAGAACATATCTCCTAAAGATATTGCTTACTATGTCTAAGATCAGAATTTGATCCTCACAAGTTGCTTAACACCTCTTATCACACTTCATGAAAATGTTTAGGTTAGACAAATCTTTATACAAGTTAAAGAATTAAAAAAAAATTGCTACAAAAGCTATCATTTTATCATCTGCAAGGTGATTTATTAGTTGGATTTTTTTTCCTTTTTTGTATAATTTGCGACGACTATTTGCAAGGGGACTCGAAAACCAAGGTATTCAAATGGATCCATGTGATCCACATTTCTTCCATTACCCAAAAAAAAAGATTCCTATAGCTGAGCTTCAGTACTTAATGACCCACAATAAACATTTTCCAAGCATTTTTAATGAATAATAGGTGTGTGCTTGGATTCAAAGACTCGTGTCAAAAAGCAAGTAGCTTGAAAGGACCTCCATCAAACTTTACAAGTATTAATTAAAAGCTTTAAAGAGAAATCAATCATCTGATTTCTACCTTGACAGCAAGCCAATGGAAATGTCAAAAAAGGGGAAATCTTACATGAAAATAAAACTTATGATTCATCGAGAATATATTGAAAGTTCAACCATAGTAAATTGCAATGTCGGACAATAGGACACCTTTTTTCGTGAAGAAATCACACGTCTTTTAGATTCGTTATTATATATAATTATTCATAAATTATACAAATCGAATTAATTAAGTCTATAATAAACCATAATGTCGGCCAATAAGACACATTTTTTCACGGAGAATTTTTTCAAATGTACTTTCTTTAGACTCGTTAATATATTTTGACGAGTCTAAATTCAGACCAGGTTTGAGTTCAGTTCGTGGGTTAGGTCTAAATTATCAAAAGGCATGCCAGATTCAACTCATGGATTCTGTTCAGTCCAAGGTTCAAAGAGTCATGTAAGATCAGCGCACGTGTAGAGTTATTATCGGGATAGTCACCTTGAAGATCACGTCTACTTTTAATTGTGTTTATCCTTAACTGTAGCTATCTACTCCAAAGTATTATTCACTTATCTCTTCACGCCACCACCTCAACTAAAGTTTTATGTCTATAAATTATAAACTTTTTACACATGAGAGAGACACTTTTTTACACAGTTATATCTCTCATAACTGCCTCACCATACCTAGAGATTACGTTTGCTCTCTCTCCTACCTTTTACTTTATTAATAAAGTTTTCTGGCCACTGTCGCCACTTTCAAAGTGGAGTTGGTCACCCTGACCAAACCACTCTATACCTGTATTGTTTATATTAATCTCATCTTTATATTTATTGCATTTATTACCTATATTAATTATTTGACAGGTGGTATATAAATCTACTTTTGTGCATCATGATATATAATCATTCATAAACTATACATATAGAATTTAATTAAGGCTCTATGCTAAGGATAATCAAATTTGAGATGTCGAGATAATAATCTTACAAATCTACCCATCTTCAAACAGGCCAACTAAATGGGCCATCTCTTAATGAAGCAAGAGATTAATAAGCCTGTCCTCACACAAGTTCATATTTTGGGCTCTCGTCAAGCCCAAGTTTCTTAGGTAGGTGCTCCTAAATCTCATAAAATTCAAATCCACAAAAGCTCAGGCTAACAAAATGCTCCAAAGGCTCAAACTGGCCCAATATGCTCATTACCATCTTTCAGCCTTTGAGCCCAAGCCCATCCTCCAGACTATTAATTAGTAAATATTTAGAACAAATTAGGATGAACATCACTGTGTTATATCAAAGCATCACGATCACGTACAATCTATCTAATATTTACACCTATAAATTAAATCCTCAATTTATAAAAAAATAACAATGATCAAGATTGATTCAATTTTTATCTTCTTTGGTTTAATGGTATAAAATTTACCTTAATTTTTTTTCCATTTAAAAAAATCATATTCTTTGCACGAGTCCCATTGTTCAAAAAAATCATATTAATTCACACTTACCTCTCTTTCTCTCCTTTTCTTATTTTTTATTTTTCCTCTATTCACTTTAATTTTGAATTACATAATTAAGAAAAAAAATTACCCGATTAATGTTCAATTTTTGGTATTGTACATAACATTCAAACACGGGATTATTGTTAGTATATCTATATTAATACAGAAAACCCCAATCATTGATTATTGGTCATTACCATTTAACACTATTTATCAATACAACACAAATTTAATACAAAAAAAGCAAAAACTTAGTCTTATCAAATTTAGAATGCAATTGGATAAATTCACCAAACTTGCTTAACTTACAAGCCGACACAAAACAAACTAGATATAATTTTTGTACGATATAGTCTTATACAATACAAACTTAATTAAATATGATTATAAATAAATTAAGTCGAATTGAATAAAACTTGATACGACAACAGCTATTTTAGTCCTACCCACGGTCACATAATTCACACCGAGTTAAGCACAAGTATTAAAATTTTATTTTAAAACAGTCGAAATAATTGAAATGAATTAATAATTGATTGAAAATTTTGTTTCAAGGAGTTTTTGTATGTTTCTAATTATGTTTCAAAATGGTTCGGGATCTTTCAAGATATTTCAATATATTTGGATTAATATCTTGAAAACAAATTTCTCATTTTTTTTATTCATGTATATTATGTTTCGTTTTCAAATTTTTTTTTTTTTAATGCTTGCAAAATAAATGGAGAATGGAATTTCGGATACCACAGGGGTCGAAATCGAATTACTAATTTTAGCTGTGGGACGGGAGGTGAGGTGTCTTCGAAAACCTTTCCCGCCAAAACGGAGCACACAATATATGCCGCGTATTCATCGAGTCTTCTTTGACACACTTCTCAACCTCTCAGCCCTTCGTTTAGCTCTGCAACAACACAGTGAGCAAAAAGTTACAAATGGTACGTGTTTCGATCTATCAGACACAAATTATGCTATTTCGTCAAGTCTAATCGCTATATATTCTCCCAATTTGTGAGTTATCTTTGTTTCTATATGATCGTCAATGGCGTAAATCGTTTAGAATTCGGTTCGTAATTCAAAATTAGTTATGCGAGTACAATTTTGATTTGATATGATATTTTTTTGAGCTCCGTTATCTACAAATTTAGATTATATTCAAACGTATAATCATTGTATACTATTTTTATGTGTATACCTATATGCATATGTGCATATATATATAATGATAAATACAAAATCCATTAAGATGTGAAGAACTTGATCCCTCGCTCTCTCTCTCTCTCTCTCATACCCACCCTTTGGCACACATATAACTATCAATCCGAGAAGCAGCTGATGTGAGTGGATAGATATTGTTGTTTTTTCTGTGACTGGTAATTTTGATTTTGATTCTGAAAGTGAAATTGATTTGGATGAAATGTTAATATCGTTCTGTTTTTGGTCCATTGCTTTGGTTTACCTTCTTGGTTCTGGTTAGACTGGCTGTTTGAAACCAGAAAGGAAATCAAGTAATACTCTTGAATCTGATTCTCCGGGGTAAGTTAGAATTAAGACACTTTGTCAGTGGTTGTCCCCATGGAGTTGGGGCCTCAGAATTGGTTTGTAAAGCAAAAGTTAATCAAAATTTATACTAGTTCTTATCCGAATTTAATTACAACGTTCAAATTCGTGCTTCCAGACACATCATTACTCTCTCTCTCTAGATCCGTGTGTGTGTGTTTGTGAGAGAGAGGTTTTTCTCAAAGTAGTTAGATACAACATCAAGATCAATGGAATTCATAAAGCACCATGTAATCAATCGGCAAGTATGAACAAGTAAAACTTAAATATGGCGAGTGTATTTTGATTATTATTCATACCTTAAAGAGTTAATGTTGAAACTTTGAAGGTGTTAGGAAATTAGCTCTTGTTCTATTTGAACTACATTGTGTTGTACTTGCGCAAAAGTCAAAACTAGAAAAAACTTGTTTCTCATTGTTTATGGACAATTCCCATCTTTGGATATTTTTAATACATCTTTATCGATTAACAATGTAAGTTTTACTGCTTCTTCGAGTTCTACTGTTGTATCTTCCTGACTTCTATATTTTCATGTGCTGAAATTACTTATCTTATTGGTGAATCTAACTTCAGTTTTATTGGTGACAGTCTAAGAAAAGGGGTCTTTCCTTGGCTGAGAAGCGTGAAAACTTTCTTCGAATCTTTTTTGAGTCAAAAGACTTCTTGCTTGCGAGGGTTGTACATTATTGAATCAATTATTATCAATTGAGCAGTTAGACGCCACTATCAATTTATTCAATCTGCATTTACAAGCGGTGAAACACCACTATGTCATGCCATCACACTAGGATACCATCCCCCCCACCCGCGCGGGGGGCCAAAAAAAAAAAAACAAAATGATTGTGTCAATTTGTCTTTCTGATTAGTAAGATTATGACTACAAAGTTATTTTCTGTATTTTATAGGCCTGTTATTTGATTCACTGCTTTTGCTTTTCCAGTCAGATATTCCGTTTGGTATCCCACTGCAGGTGGGAATAACAGATGACTTTGACTATCTGGAGTTGCCTGCAGTAGTGTCTGTTGGCCAAGTTGGAGATCAGATGCTGGAAGGCAATCTTTAGGTATTGTATTTGGCTTAAAAGCTTTCTTGGATATTAAGCACATACCTAAATGTGAAACCATACGCAGTTTCCTTTTTCCCAGCGCGCTTTCATCTTGGCACTGCAGTGGGGGTGCCATCAAAGCAATGTATCTGCCCAGTTTCGGATCATTGCTTGCTTTTATAAATCAGATTGACTCGATTTATAAAACTAATTTAGGCTTCATACATGGTGTATGGTAAGATTAAAAACTAAACAAAATAAAATGCATGGTGTTGGGTAACATTGAATGTCAACATGATAATACAATGTTTGATGTTTGAATGTATGCTAGGGAACAAATCTTAACCAACGTTTGAGCTTATTGTTTCTCCATCCAAATGAAATCCTTAGCAATTTGTGAGATATTTTTCTTGGAATTTGATATGGATTTTTGTTATTGCATGCCTTTTGTGGCAAAAATTAGGTAAGGTTAAAATTCTGTGTGGGAAGTATTCACTTTCGATTGTTGTATGATGGATCCCCATTTTGATTTGAGTGTGTTAGTTTGGGACAATGTGGCTTTAATTAACTATTCGGATAAGAATAGTAATGAATGTTTGCATGAAACACTTCAAAAACCATTTCATGCTCTCATAAACATGTATTTGTATTCTCATTGATGGAGATACAGAGCACCAAAAGTTTTATTCAAACACTAATAACATTAGGCTGAATGTTAATGTTCTGTAATATCTTTAATATGGTTGGTTTCTCACCAATAACCATTAAGTTGCTAAGAATTTAGGGAATTTGATACTGAAGTGGATCTTAATTCCTTTTTTTTTTTTTTATAAATAATAATTATTATTTATAGTGAAAACAGGAAATGATATAAATACTAAAGCAACAAGCTAGAGTGTTTCACCCTGAAATAAAGTTTAATTCATGTGAGACCAAGCAGTCAGGAGAGGTTCATCCTGTTAGGAGTCTTTGCTTTGAATCTAGGTTTAGGGCAACTCCCTATTGAGGGTTAGGGATATCAATCTCAACTGCGTTTTGCCATTTTGGGTTATTTCATATTTAGGTCATGTGTAAGCATAGGATTAATATCATTCTCTCTCTTAACCAAGTTCATCAGAAATATTATACAAACTCTAGTAAAATTGATCAAATCATACAATATTATATCAGGACCTAAAAAATGAAAAAATCCTTTTATATTTTTTTTTCAATACCAGTTAAATGATTTATTTTTCAACATTAAGCAATACTTTTATCTAATTGAACAGAATAGGATAAATTCAATTCAACAGATAAGGATAAATCAACTGTAATGCATTAGGATCTGACCATGTTTATTTTGTATTTTGAACATCATACATTTTAGCAGTGAAGGAAATTATTTTCCAAACATCAACCCAGGAATTTAGAAGGAAAATCATTTCTACAAGGAAAAAAGGTTTTCACATTAACCATTTTACTTCAAAACAAAGGGAAGTATCAATGCAGCAAGAGTCCCAACTTCACACAAGAGATTTCATTCCTTCTAATAACTTGAGAAAAACGAAGTCAAATTATTTACAAAATTGGAACCAATAATTCTTGATGATGATTCCAAAGACCAAACTAATCAATTTCTGCACTCATAAATCCAATATAGCATAGAGGCAATGCTGACAGAATGTTGAATACCAATTAAAGAAAGAAAAAAGGACCTGCTCAAAGTGCCATTTCTGCCTGTAATGCAGCAAGTTCATCTTCCTCGGCTGTACGCCTCTGAGGAGCTGGGTGTGCTGGTTGCCTGCCTGCTGGGACCTGCACTGGAGCCACAGGAGTGGTCGTTGCAGGCTGAAGGAGCTCTTCTTCCAACTCAGCACCTTCCAATTCTTCAAGCTCTGCCTCCAATTCATCCTGGAATGACGAAAAGATATTTAGACACTAGCAGATTTACATCACTGCTGCTTAATAGTTATAAAGAACAGGAGGAACCATAATAGAAAAGTTCACCATGCAGAGCTTCAGAGAAATCAAAAGATTAAAATAAGATTGAAAACCTCATCAAAATCAGCAGCGGAACCAATGGGAGTGGCCAATGCTTCTTGTATCTGTCTCATGTTCTCAGTTTGTTCACTTATTTCATCCATTGTCTTGTCGACATCATCAATATTCCTGTTAAATGCAATTTACAATAACAATGTCGTGACAGAAAAATCCTGAATTGTAACTTTCTATCTTGAGACTTTTAGCTTAAAAAAACTATTATTTGAAAGATCAATGCCGTAAAGGAACCACACCACCAAAAAAGACTTGATTTTTTCAGAATCTTCATATAACCTAGATACAGAAAACATGGTACTTACGTTGCTTTCTGCATCGCCTTCATTGCAGCTGAGCCAGTTCTCAGTGCCTCGACTGTTTCTGTTGTAGCTTTTGCACCTTCTAACATTATCATCTGCACCATCCACACATAACTAGAGATTAGAAAGCCATCCAAGCAAGAAGAAATTCATCAAGCATTCATTGATTACCATGCAAACCATCCCCGAATATAAAATATCAAGCTAACCTGATCATGGATGCGCAATTGGAAATTACCAAGATTCTCAATTTGCTGTTCATAAAGCCTCTTCCTCTTCAAACATTGTATAGCCGCTGCATGTCAGATAACATGGAGTAAAACAAAGCTTCTTTAAGCATCCAAGCAACAAAGATATATCTAGACTCAACGAGCCTTTCAACCTGTACTTTCATAATCGGCTCAATAGCTTTGTCAATAAATGCTTTCTCAATTAAGTTCTGAATGACAAAAGTATCAACGGGCAAAAATGCAAGAACACATCACTGTAGTATCTACTACAGCTATTGCCCAATAGTTGCAATTATATTGGTAGGCACATGCGATGGGGGATGGTGATTGTTCTTGTCCATCTACAATGGACAGCAAAAAGGAAGATTGACAAACAAATTCAAAGACAGAAATCTTGCTGTCAAAGCAATTCAAAACCTAAAAATTGGTCATCCTGAGAAGGAAGATTCATGCAATTGAAGAACATACCCTTCTTATTCTTCGCCCTTGTAAACTCCTTGGCCTTTTCAATCTCTGCAGAAGCCTTCTTTTGAAGTACGTTCTCCTTCTTCTCCAGCATTTCAAGTGTCTATACAACAGAATGAGTGAAAGATTCAGATTAAGCTACAAGTCAACCGTCTAGAGAGCTACCCAACCAATCATCGTGCATCTCAATGAAAGCATGAAGAAAACGTACTCATAGTCAATGAAATTAAAAAAAAATGCAAGTATTTAGATCCGCAAAGGTTGTTTTATTCATCAGAAGTCCTTATCAATATTCCTAACACATGATAACAAAAACGCATGATAATAAGAGGTACCAATATATAGACGGGTACATAGGAAAATTATTGACTATCATACCTCGTTTAACTTATCTAACGTTGCAAGAGCATTGGCCTCTTGCTTAGGTTTGCCAAAAATCCGAGTAAACATTGTTAATCCGATACTATGAAACTCCCGATCTTCTGCAATAAACACAAAATTCGCAGTGTGGCGGTTATATAAACCCTAATTTGATCTCCAAAAACGTTTTTATATATCCGATACTATAAAACTCTTAATCTTCAGCAAACACCACAAAAATCGCAGTATTGCGGTTAATATAAACCCTAATTTGATCTCTCAAACACGTCTTCTGTAAAAAAAAAAAAAAGGATCGCTGTCCGAGCAATAATAACAGACCTACCTCAAAAATTTTGAATTCAGAAGAACTTAAGAAGCCAGAGATCGATTGGTTGATTGACCAAAAAGTATCGATTTCAGGACTCTGATCTCGAGGAAACTACGACGAAGGGAGGGAGGGAGGGAGGGAGGAAGGAGAGAGAGAGAGAGAGAGAAGAGTATTGGATTTCTTAGACGTGTTGGGGGGTTGGGACAGCTGAATGCTGGCTTTTGGTGTTGGCTTTTTTGGGATGTCGTTGTGATTCGGACTCGGAGTCCACACGGGTTAAGCAGTGTTTGGGTCCAGCAAATAATGCCGCCAACCACTTCAAAATAGACAATAAGTCATTTCTCGATCAAAAAAAAGAAAAAGACAATAAGTCATTTCCCTTAAAATACACTTACTCCAATTTTTTCTAATAGAAAATCCCATTTTACCCCTCCAAAGATAGAAAAATTTTTAGTTTGTCACTCGACTGATTAACTTTTTCATAATGGCCCTTTAAAGAAATAAAAATATTGTAATGTGGTTCACCGTCATATTTTTATTTGATCTTCTATCTGTTTTATTTTAAATCAATCAATCAAAAATCATAAAACAGACAGATGACCAAACAAAAATAAGACGATGATTAAGAACTACATTATAATATTTTTATTTATTTGAAGGGACAATATAAAACAAGTAATCGTTTAGAGAACAAATTGTGAATTTTTATATCTTTTAGGGATAAAATGAGATTTATCTTTTTTCTAACTGTGGTTAACTCCCTGCCATAAATTTAAGAAGGAAAATTTCACTTAGATTTAAAATACTGAGTCAAGGACTCACAGTCATCGAAATAAATATTAAAATTTATAGTTAAATAAATAATTTAGGAAAAATTTCATCTACACCCTTCGTAGTTAGGTCTAAATTTGATAACACTCTATCTTGATTCTGAAATTTCGCTATCAACCTTTTTTAGTGATCGTCAGATTACAACAGTGAAAAATTTTATGAGTACGTTATAGGATAAATTTTATTCACACTCCTTGTAAATAGACCCAACTTTAATAACATCCCCCCTAAATACACTTAACTTTAACAATACCCCTCTTAATTTTGAAATTTCAATATATTCCATTTTAATTATATTATATTAGCCTATAGGTTGATATATTTAATATTTAATTTTATCAAATTTATGTCATTTAAACTAAATTAATATTTCATCTCATCAAATCAACACAAAAATTGATATTTAATTTTATCAAATTAGCATTTAGTTATATTAATTTAATATCAAATTAATATTATTTTTTTAATTTAACATTAAATTATTAAATTAAATCAACACCAATTTGACATTCAAATTTATTTAACTCCAAACGAACATTCAATTTTATTAAAGCAATATTCCAATTTATTCAATTAACATTAAATTTTATCAAATTAAAAATAAATTAATATTTAATTTTATCAAATTAATATTTAAATTTATCAAATTAAGACCAAATTTATTCAATTAATATTAAATTTTATATATGAAAGATAATGTGTGAAGAGTAGTCAAATGACGTTGTAGAGGACATATATCAATTATAATTTTTATTGTAGAAAAGTCTATTTTAACTATAGAGCTTTTTCCCAAACCCAACTTGTTTTAAACTTATTTTTCAAATCCAGTCTTTTTTTTAAAAATGACATTCCAAACGACGTCTTAATGGGTTAAAATGTCATTTGGAATGACAATTTTAAATTGAAATTTTTTTATTTAAATCATCATTTGGAATGACGTCTTTAAAAGAGTCAATGAGAATGATGTTAAAAAAAGTGAATTAAAAACGGTAACATAATAGACATTAAAAAAAATTGGTGGGAACGACGTTTTCAAAAATGTCTAAAAAAACAAAAAATCCCTAAGAACCCTTAAAAAAATAAAAAAATAAAACTAAAAAACCCTAAAAACACTAAGAACCCCAAAAAAAACCAAAAACCCTAAAAAAGCCTCTATTTTTTTTAATAACGCAACTGACGAGTTTGTTAATTATTTTGATGGTATTAAATATTTTGTTCAATCGTGTTTTGTTTTAACTAAAAAATATATTATTAAATCATGTTTCGCACATAAATTTATAAATTAAAAAATCAAGTTATAAATTAAAAAAATTTAATTAATTCAATGCAATACATTACCAAAAAATGTTTAAAATATTGTTTGTGTGTGTAGTACAAGAAATTTGTGACTAATTTTGAGAAATTTATTTTGTATATGTTAAAAAATTGCATATTCTAATTTTATGTCATAAGTTCATCAAAAAATGAGACTTGACTTGCAAAATTGTACAAAGCATGAAAATATAAAAAAAGATACATATACATTAAGCAAAATAATTTTATTACATGAGATTGTAACAAATACAGTGTGTCAATATTGTGGTTGATGTAGAAAATAATATAGAGGGTTACTAAGTACACATGAACTCGATGGATCAAAGTGTCAGACGCATAATCACTTAATCAAAATAATCAAAAAGTTTAGGATCGAAAACAAGTAACGAATCCTATAAAATTTGAATGTCAGCATTGTCAGGATCGAAATACTCAATTTTGCCTGTTCAATTGCATGCAAACGATTAAGTCGACGCTGCATCTGATCATTTTCGCATTTAATTCTTGTTATGATCTCGTTATGATTGGTAGAGTTTTGTGTATCATATATATCAGTTGAGCGTGTCTTTGGTACTATTAACCCATGCCAACGACAATATACTTCAAGCTCACAATGTTTGTTATATAAATGTCGCCAACTTGGTGTGGGTTTGATACGAACACTTGGAGGCAGATAGTTGGTCGCAGACCCAACAAATATTTGCCCAACTTGACCGAATGAGTGATAAGGGTTGATGAGCTTATTATGGAACTCATACTTTTGTCCGTACCAAGTTACACCAGTAGAATCTGTGTAGGATTCAATTGAACGAACTATGTTCGACAATGCTGCTCGGCCAATCGAGCGTTGACGTTCGTTGGTTGAAGATGAACTTTGTTGTTCATTGTGTGATGAAGAACCTTGGGTGGTTTGACTGGATTGCCTATTAGATGTGTGCCTAAACATTTTTTGGGTTATGATATACACAATTAATACGGATGGTTTATATAGACACAAAATGCAATTATATATAAATTTGATATGACAATTACTACGTACGACTAACATGACTTGACACTGATAAAATAATGATATGACTTCACAGTGATAAAGTGATGACATAATAATTGAATGACAAAAGAATTGACATGACTTGACACTAAACTGACTACACTGATAAAATAATGATATGACTTTACAATGATAAAATAATAACATAATAATTCAATTACATACGACTGACATGACTTCACACAACACTGATTACATTAGCTTTCTATCTCAAAAATGAATGATAATTACCACTATTCAATATATGACATTGGAAAGAATAATTGCACATTTACTACATTAAACTTCATCAGACATATAATCATCTGGCAGGTATTGTGTATTAGATAATATATCATTTTGCTCAACTGTTGTCAACTCTGGTCCATATGCAGTTTCCACCATGTCTTTTACTTGTTGGAGCATATAAGAGCGACACGCACTAGTATTCTATTATTCTCTCTTCAAACATGTTTACTGCTGATTCATAATACTCTCTATTTCGGCGTTGCATTGTTAATGATCGTCTATGAGGCATTGGAATGTCAAGTTCTCTTAGTTGTGCGAATAGTTCTTTTGATTCTTTAGCACGAAAAGTCCACTCTCGTCATACTCCTGCATAATACTCTTTTGGATCAGAAAATCTCTCATTCTTGTAATTATCGTTTCGCTCTTGTAATAACCAAACTCGTTCATGTCTGCGATTGTTAAATCTCGTAGAGAAATTTGATGTAAACATAATTTTTTGTTTGTAGTATCAACCACAAATAAAATGTTTAAGTAGTAGTGTTCAAACCCTAATATGCTTGACAAGTCACATTAGTCAATAGTAAGACAGTGTCGTCATGATAGGCCACTTGGGGTTTAGTCATGCATCAGACTTGTGTAAGGTCATTTCACTATTTGGACTTATGAACTGTGTTGTCACTTCAGCACATATTTGCAAAAACCCATTTAAGGTGTAGCCAATTCAACACATGGTATGTTGAACACCCATATAGAGTTTAAGCACTTCTTCATATAGTCTGCTGAAACCTATTCAGGATTTAGTCATTTCAACACATTGTCTGCTGAAACCCATTCAGAGTTTAGTCACTTCAATTCATGACATTAAGTAGTCATGAGTAGTCACTTTTTCTTCTTCAGTCTTATCAAAGGGAAATTACTTTTCACTTCAACACATCAATGCAATGTCAAGTCATGACAGTCCTTTCTCAATTAATTGATATGTCCATCAAAATCTTGATTTATCAAGACTATATATTCATCGTGTGTAAGCAACTAATTGAAGAAAAACTCATTTTCAACATGAATTACAGTGTAAGAACATTATATACAAATGTGGGTTATCATTGGACTTTAGAGAATGAGTTCATCTATCCAATGAATTCTCATTTACGTTATTCAAATAGGGCCATAAGAACCATGAGGGTCGAATTGCAATATCGTTTGAGGGAGCGAGAAAATCTTAGTGGAGATATGCAAACTTGTAATTTATAAAGGCCTCGACAAATTGTCATCCATATGCCAGTTGAGCACCTCAACAACTGAAGCGAGCATTGTATCAATTTTTAGCTGAGAATAATTGCATGGCAATCCCCCTAAATCGTTATAACCTTCGTTGCATCGCACGAGAATGTGCTAAAGAAGGGTTAATGGAAGAAGTACGTATAAGTTTCCTCTTAAGTGGAGATATTGGATGTATTTCTGTTGTCGGATGTCTGACGAAGATGTTGATCCATGAAACATATTGTGTTGTTGGAGAAGTGTTATGTTAGTGTTGTGTGGACAAATATTATGTTAGTGTTGTGTGGAAAACTATGATGTTAGTGTTGTGTGGAGAAATGTTATGTTAGTGTTATGTGAAGAACTATTATGTTATTGTTGTGTGGAGAACTGTTATGTCAATATTGTGTAAACATGTGTTAGGTTAGTGTTGTGTTGTGTGGACAAGTGTTAGGCTAGTGTTATGGGAACAAGTGTTATGTTAGTGTTTGTGTGTAGAAATATTATGTCAGTATTGTGTGAAGAAGTGCTATATTAGTTTT